TTTGTCTGGAGCTCTGGCTGGCTCTGGACAAAGCGCGACACCCAGTTCTTGCCAACAGGTGGTGGAGGTGGATCTTGGCCGCGCGCAGCGAGTAGAGCGTCTGCCATTCGTCGCACATCGATAATATGGGGCGGAAAACCGCGCCGGTCAAGGTCTAGGATCCATTGTACGAGAGACTGCTCTTCAATAGGTAGTAGCTTTCTTTTTCTAGCGTTAGCAGTAGCTTGAGGTTGTCTACCTTGAAGGCGGTCATAAAGCGTTGAACGAGGAACATTAAATAGCTGAGCAGCTTTACGTTGACTCTTAATTTGATGTCTTTGAATTGATTGAGATGCAAGACAAAGTCTACCTTGCCTTTGAGGCGATAGAGAGCGTTGTTGTCGCGTCATAGCTGTTGTTGTGTAGAGGGTTAGGTCAAGTTTGGTGGGGTGGCCGGATGACTGGTGTGGCCGGATGACTGGTGGAACACGTTATTATTATTATTTTACACATCAATCCTAGTGCTAACCAAGTACTTACTTACCTTCTTACCTACTTACCTACTTACACACAGCAAATACAAGTACTAACAAGTAACAAGCTAAACACTAATAATAATAAATTAAAAAAATATGTAGTAAATCGTAATAAACACCGCGCATTGAAATATTAAGAAAAAAAAACCCTCACCTCATTTCTACTTGTTTCTTGCTTGCTTGCTTGCTTGCTTGCTTGCTTCGATTTTTGTTCCTTTAATTAACAAAGCTTGTTGATTACTTAGTCCCCAAGTCATAGTTGCAGTTGCAGTTCAAGTCGCCGTCTGACTGCAGCCACCCCCCCTCCCCCCTCCCCTCTTCCATGCCTTCCATGCCTTCCATCTCTGTCTTTCATTTCATTTCATTTCATCTCGGTGTCTTTTTTTGGGCTGCTCGTCTATGTACTAGCTATGTGTGTGTGTGTGGATGGATGTGGGTGTGGGGGAAAGGGAGGGGGCTCGTTTTCGGACTGACTCTTGGGCCGGGTCGGGTTTCATATTGGGGCTTGTTTGAGAGCGAGGAGGGGAGGCAGCGAGGGGGGGGGATGGTGCTGCGGACAGGGACGAGGGATGAGGGACGAGGGGAAGGGGGCCTGGTAGGTGGGTGGGTGATCGGCGGGCGTGGGAGGAAGGCACATGTGGAGGATGTGGAGGGGGGTTGTTGATGTGGAGGGGATGAATACGATGGGAATACGGACAGGTGGAATGCATGCATGCGAGACGATGGGATGTGTGTTCTTCTCCCTTTTTCTCTCCCGTTCTCTCCCGTTCGCCCTGTAACTATGTGGATGCGTCTTTCTGGCAAGAAAAAAAAAGAAGAGAAGCAAAGTTTGTACATGGCAGAATTATAATGTCTACGTTTGCATAGTAGTTTGATTCGATAAACGAGAAACAAAGGACCATGGCTTGTGTGAAATACTACAAGAATAGATGCAATAATTCAGGTGTTAAGGACATGGTACTTTTTGCTCTCTCTCTCTCTCTCTCTGTGTGTGTGCGTGTGTCTTTGCAATGTACAACAATAATTCTCACGCACGCTTCGCATATACTCTTTTCCACACAGTATCATCAATAAATCATCCATACATCCGTATATGCAAGTAAGTAACCAAGTGACTAGCCAAATGTGCCCTGGACTCCTCCATCCCATCTTGCACTCTGTTCCCACGCAACTCGTCCGTCGGCATCGAGCAGCGCCTCCAACGCCGTCGACCCAACTACCAACGCGTGACGTTGCGCGCTTGCAGCGCCCCGCCGAGCCAATCACCCATCCAAGGGCGTCTTCTAAAATAAACAAAAGGGCGTAACTTGGCAAGGCCATGATACGTGACGGGGCGCCTGAGCTGAGCGTGCGTGCGTGCGTGCGCGCGCCTGAGCTGAACCGAGGAAACCGAACAAGGGAACCACCATAGTTCGAGAAAGGGAAAGGAAGAAGAAGGTGAGAAAAGAAAAAAAAAGAACAAGAGCTGACGTAATCCTTCGGCGCATAACAACACAGCCCCTCCCCTGCGCACTGCACTTACTACTAACTGGTTGTGCCCTATTCTTTTCTTAGTCTTGCATTGCGCGCTCAGATATGGCGTGGCGGGGGGGGGGGGGCAACCAAGTCATTAATGGTTCCAAGAGGCGTTTTTTTTAGGTGGGGGTTTTAGGTCCCAGGATATGCTAAGGAGCATTGGCATTGGGGCTAGAGGTGTTGCGGCTGATAAGTAGAACAACGTGTATTGAATTCCAACTTGGGGCAATGCTACGTGCGTGGTCCCTGTGGTTGTGTGGTGACATTTGGAGAGCCGGCGCAGGTGCAGGTGCAGGTGCAGGCGCTTTGGCTTGTTACAACACAACCTGTGGCTCATTAGAGTGTATTTTGGATGGGCGGAGACGCCGTGCTGGACGCAGAATCAGGGCAAGCTAGCCTTGGAATGTCTATGAGTAGCGTGGCGTGTTGTTGTTGTTGTCGTTGCAGAGTCTCCATTTACTACTTGTGTAATGAACCAGGAATGCTCTATCGAACCATTTTTCTAGGAGACAGTTTACCTCTCTTCTAGCCACGTGAAGCCTAAATCAGCATCGCCCCGGGGCAGTGGTGACATTGCAAAGCATTGCCACGAGGACCCTTCTTTTCTTTCTGTTAGCATGTTCCAGACGCGTAGCACGGCAGAGGCCGCATGCAGCCAGCTGATGGAGGTGGTACATACAGCGTGGCGTGTCGAGTGCAGATGCTGTGTTATGGGAGAATGGCGTTGTTGGCCTTTGATAGGACAAGTTTGAAGCACAACGGCGAGGCATTTCCTTTGCTCTTGTCCCGAGAGAATACATGCATACAACCTCGGGAAGCAACGGGCCGTCAGGCAGTCGGCTCATATGACATCCATGTGCATTTCACACGGACTGCCTTCCAGCTTGTCTTTGCGCTTCTCCACTTCAAAAGCATTGTCTAGATCCACGCCAACCACGCCTGCTGGCCAATCGATCAAGTGCCGATGTTCGCGACCAAGCGTCATGGCAACAGCTGTGACAATGTCGGCACCAAGGCCCTCCAACCACCACACGTTTCGGACTCTGCCTAGGAGAATGGCATAGTGAGCCAAGATGATTAGTGCATGGATGTTCTTGGACTCGATAAGACTGATGAACTCCCGCGGTATGCGAGCCGCCCATACGAAGATCGCGCCACGGTCCGTAAGGGTGGAGATTGTCTTGTCGTCAACTGAGTAAGGAACTGCTGACATGGGAGGGAAGCGCTCGGGAAGCGTCAGCTGACTGACCAAGTTGAAGCTTTGGCGTAGATAGAGAAGTGCCTGAGAGAGATAGACACAGTGGGGTTTCAGGGGCTCTTCGGCGTCCATCCATAGCTTTTCAATCTCTTTGAGACGTTCATCTTCCACGACTGCGCGCGGGGTTGCAGAAACATTGTATTCGGGCCACCATTCGCGTGCAGTGACTGGCTGCATCTTGCTTCCCACCACCCAGCCCCATCCTGATAATAAAACTGTAAGGGGCCCTCGGAGACCCCATATGGTGCGCAGTGCACAAGACAACATCTTGTCGATGATTTCGGGCGACGGCGTTACTGCACCTGGCGGAATTGACGCACGTAGGTTCTCCATATCAATGGCTGATGTGCGGAAGAGATACACTGCCGTGAATGTTGAGCTGGCGAAGAGGGCTGCAGCGTTCTTCTCAGTAATACTTTCCAATTCGACTCGGTACCTTGTTAGAGCCTTGTTCATCCGCGAAGCTGCCAGAGCATTCATCTTCTTTTTATGTTCTTTGCATTCGTATAGCCGGCCGAGATGCAGCGAAGCGACAGATAGTACGCAGTTTGTGAGAAAGTCATGGTTGTGCGCCATTTCGGGGATATATGCCTGCCACGCTGCCTTTGCTGGATCATCATTTGCCAGCGTAAGGGAAGTTGTGAATTCATAGTGACATAAAAGTTCTTGCAGTGGTGGTGGAAGCAACTCGCGAATGTCCTTCCAAGCGTCGTGTGGGCGAAGAGAGGGCGATATGCTACCATAGGGCGGAGTGTTGCCCTCGGGAAAGGAAGCCGACTGCAAACGACCTTGGGCCGAGAAGGTCGGATGATGAACAGCTTGCTCTTCGACTAATACTACTTCGGTTTGTCGAGGTGTTTGTGTCGCGAGAGCTACTTGGTTGCTAATAGCCACAAGATTTGTCGGAGAATATATGGGAGCTGGTTCCGACTTGGGTGTCTCTGGTCCAGGCGACGACGACACTGGTTGCACCTGCCTAGCGCTGGGTGATTTTGAGCTTGTTAGGAGACGTGAAGACGGAACAAGAGCGAGAAAGCTACATGTGTCGCCCTTTTTATCGCAGTTTGCGCATGACGGGTGTCGACAATCACACTGACGGAGTGTTAGCAATGGGAGAATGATGAGGAAACACTCGTCTCCGAAACCATGCTATCAAGCACGGCGCTTCCGCAGTCTCAACATAGGACATGTCGTTCTTCAGGTGCCCATGTGCCAATCCGGTTCTGTTGTGGCGCGTGTAGTACATACACCCACTCCATGTAGCGCAGGTACATGATTCAGCGTCTACATGTTGCAACCTCTGGAAACATTGCATCAACAGAGCAAACTCACTTTTATTCGTCTCCTTTTGCACTGGTGACACCCCAGTCTGGTCTTGTTATGCGATCTTCTTGTCGCCATCGGAGTTTGCCGTCCAACGGGCTATATACGGCGGATACGGTGGATATGGTGACTGGCGACAACGCACAGACCGTATGTAAGCGCCGCGGATGGCCCTGCTGCTGGATATGTGCAGACGCGTTGAGGTCGCAGGTGGCGTGATGGAAATACAGAAACACAACGGGATACGCTGTTGAAGCATACAGAGTGTGAATGTGAATGTTACTTGGAGATCAGAGTTTCGTACTCGCCGCTCTGACAGCTCCCCACGCCGCCTGCAGCTAGCCTGAGAGGGCAGTTGTCGTATTGCGCGTCCTGTGATTGGCCCAGGCAAACGAGAGGAAGCCTCTCCATTCCGACTGGCTTACGAGAGACGCACAGTCGCATGTCTCATCCTCCAGACATGTGACGCTACACATTCCAGTGGATTTGCATTCACATGGGCATATGCTACAAGTATTGGCAATTGGCAGTACACGCATCTTCACAGCCAGAATCAAAAGCCCCGCTTTGGCGTATATCAACTGTTTTGTTTCTGTTCATGCTTTTGTTACGCCGAGTGCAACACCATGCAAATGCATGCGCATTCACCAAGCTTGCAATCATATACAAGACGTAACACATGGCTACCTGCTAGTAGCTCTTCGCGCTGTCGTCATCAAGCGTATAGCTTAGTTTTTGAAAACAGTAGCCTCGCTCCAACGGCTGGCCGCCTTCGCCCTGTAGTCGTCCTTGACTCCCTGCTCACTCTTCCACTCCTTTAGCAGTGACAGTCCAGCCTTCGCTTCTTCAATCGTCATGTTTGGGAGATCCAGTGTCTTCAGCAGATCCTGCTCGCTCTGAGATTTCGCGCTGTCGTCGAGAATGTAGCGGACGTTGTATCCAGATTGCAGATGCAATGCGCTCTCCGAATGCTTCTTCAGGAACTCATCGTTGTAGGCTTTGAGGTCAGCATCTGCCGGAGGTGTGGTAAACATCTCCTTGATAACCTCTGATGCTTGGGCTGAGAGAGGCTCGGCGGGTTTGCTGACTGTTGTGTGTTAGCAACATGTTACATTGCCAACATCCTGTTGCACCTACTGGCTTGTCGGAAGCGCACGCTCTGTTCATGCAGCTTCGGGTTCTCAGGATCAATCTCTCGTGCAGCTTGCAGACACTTGAGGGCGAGGAGGTACTTGTCTGGTAAATTGTTAGTACCGGTTGAGACAGCAGTTGCAATCATGAGGACATACTTCTCCGGATATAGACTTCGAAGCCCACATTTTGAGCTTCAATGTTCTTTGGCGCCAACTCAAGCATGGGCTGCAAGAACCGCATGGCATCCTCTAGAGGCTGCTTGGTTTGGAGCAGCTTCTCGCCGTTGGGATCAGTGTCCTCCTTTTTGGTGTCGCCATCATCACCCTTTGCAGTTGCCTTTGCCGCCGCCGCCGCTTTTCGTTCAGCCTCAGCCTTGTCCGCCTTTTCCTTCTCTTTCTTGGCCTTCTTCTCGGCCTTTTTGCGCTCCGTAGGATCCAGCTTCTCAAGCTCGACTTCGTTTGGATTGTTCATTTTCGGGTTGTCCGCTAGCCGGACGTACAGTGCGACTGCCTGGGTGGCTGCCCTAGTGAAGAATGGATGATCGCGTAGGTGATCCTCCCATCTGACCATGTCAATGTAGGCACGGATCTGTCCTTTCCGTAGTGAAAAGCTATGGAAGTCGAACTGATCCTCATGCCAAACATCAAAGATGTCGGCGATAGCTGTGAAGCGCTTGAGTGCGAGACCGTACTTCTCCTGCCGTAGGTATGCCTCTCCATCTTCAAGCAGATACCACATACACTGCATATCGTGCAGATCGCCGAGAGGCCCACCCACAGCTTCATTGCGAGTAAACTTGCTCATTGTTTCAAGTGCCTTATCGTTTTCATTGTTCCGTAGCTGGTACTTGGCGCACTTGGTGTTGATGTATCGGTCCCTCTCGTCCAGCTCTCTTGCGTGATTCATCGTCTCCGAGGCTTTCTGGATATCCCCTGCATGTTTGTAAACCCGGGCCTTGGTCTGGCTGTAGTCGACTGACTTTGGATACATTTCAATCAGCTTGTCTATGTACTCCATGGCCTTTTTGAGGTCGCGACTTGAGACATAGTTGTAGTGCTGGGCCAGGAAGTACAACACAGACTGCTCGAAACGATCGGTGGTGTCGCCGTTGCTTTCCGTGCCGGCAGAGCCGTTGATCTTCTTGTCCGACGCATACCCGAGGACAAGTTCCTCAATCACTGCCTTCTTTGCCTCGTCTCGGTAGAGCGCCTTGATGTTAGGGAAGGTTGAAGGCACGCCCTTGTTCAGCATTCGCCTGAGGTACTGGTCCACCTGTGTCTTGAAAGCCTCGCCCTGAAGGAAATCCAACGGTATCCGCCTGGCAGCATCGTTACGCTCGTTCTTGTCGGCGAAGGATTGGTATAGTTCGTTTAGCTTCTCGATGTCGGCGCCATTAGAACGGTCCAGACCCAAAGACTTTTCCAGCCCTTCAAAGTATGCACGGTATTCGCCGTTCCTGTTCAGCAAGATCCGGTAAGCCTTCTCAGCCTCTTCCTTTCGCCCAAGTTCGAGTAGATATTTCGCCTTTAGCTCCAATGCGGCGCGTCGGTCGAGACTGCTCTTGACGATTTCTTCCAGATGCTTGAGAGCACGTTCCACATCACCCGACTCGTATATTATCATGTTCTTGTACAGGGTCGCTTCAGAATGCTCGAGATCGGACTTGGGCGGGGGCTGCTTCAGCGTCTCTTCGTAGGTCTTGAGAATGTTCTCTGCCTCGGCGTGGTTGCCTGCCAGGTGGTAAGCCACGGCCAACGCAGTCCAGTTCTGGCGCAATTGCGGCCGCTCCTGCATCATCCTTCGCCGGCTCTCAATGTATCCATCATAGTCACGGACCTGGCATTGGAGGAGGGCGAGATCGCGGAGAATGTTCAGCGAGCCTGGCTCTAGGCGCAGGGCCATCTTGTAAGACTTGATGGCCTCGGGGTAGTTTTTGATCGAGCGCCACAATAAACCATAGACGTGCCAGCAAATGTGCGACTTCATGTCATTGCGAAGGGCTTCTTTGCAGAGAGCAAAGGCCTCTTCGCCCTGGTTTGTCGAGTTGAGAATCAGGGCCTTCATCGCCTGGGTGTCGCCATGCGTGGGGTGCTTCTTCAAGATCTGTTCGGCAGCTTTGAGGCCTGGCGGGGTCAGCGGTGTTGTGTGGTGTCCTTGCGCCAATGCCTACCCTTCTTGTACTGCTTGCCCTCGTAGTACTTGACAAGCGAGCGGAAGAGCGTCTGCTCCTTGCTGGGCAATGGCTGCGGCATGGTGACGGCCGTGTGAGGCGTGCGCACAGCGTTGGGCAGAGTCGGCCGGCGAGGACCTTCTGTTTTGAATTGAGAGGTGCGTTCACCTCGGAACCAGGCTGGGGAGGGCTAGAATAAATTTCGCAGATGATTTAATCGGTACAATGAATCATCGCGACGCGAACCGCTCAGCAAGCAACAGTGGCACTGGTGGCTGGATTGCACGGCGCTATAGTGTGGGGAGCTCTGAAATTCGATGTCGGAGTGCCCATGACCGCTAGCGCACCTCGACCTTGAGTGCACGTGCGCACATTTACACCCCGCATACATGGGGCTATATGGAGGAGGGCCATTTCACCCATTTTCTTAATAGTATCTGGCGGTGGAAATCACTGAACACTACAACTTTATACAGTGTCTCTCGTCCATACCTTACAAGCCATACAAGTCCCTTTGCTTGCCTTTACTTGGACAAGCGCCCTGACCGCCGCTTTCCCCCTGTATCCTCGCTCTTTTTCTCCGCTTTGGCAGCAGTCTTCTTCTGCTTTGTCGTGCCATTAGCCGTGGTCTTGCGCTTCTTATCCGGCTGCTTTTCTTCAACTTCATCAGTCGTCTCCTCTTCGGCTTCCGCTTTGACTTCTTCCTTGACTTCTTCCTTGACCTTCTTACTAGCACGCTTCGGTTTTGCTGGTAGCTTTTCTTCAGCAGCGGCTTCTTCCTCTTTGACGGCAGCTTTCTTAGCATTCTTGCGCCCTCCCTTGGCCTTAGCGGGTGCCTCTTCCTCAGCTTCGTCATTTTCCTTCTTGATATCCTCAGCCTTCCTCTTGTTACCCTTCTTAGGCTTCGTGTCCTCTTCGTTGTCCCCTCCCTCTGCATCATCGGAAACATCGCCAGCAACAGCTGCTGTCTTCTTCTGGATGCTCGGAACGATAGCCGAAGTCCGACCACCAACCTTGAGAAATGTAATCTTCTCGCCAGTCGGAAGCTTGCTGCCCTCTTTCTTTCCTTTGCCCCAGCGATGCTTCATGAGCCAATTCTCGGGGAAGCTGTCCGAGTCTCCATTGGCTTCTACAGCTGTGTCGCAAACATACATGATGGCATCATGTAGTCGCTTGACTTGCTCGTCGGTGAAAGTGTTGCTGTATTGCTCGGGATGCAGTTTGGCCTGATACATGACCTCGTCGCTACCAATATCAGCATGATGCCTAGACTATTTTGAGATGGACTTACCCAACCCAGTTGCCTATGCCCGATATGTTGGCTGCCCGAGGTCAGATAAGGGTTGTCTTTTAGGCTTGGTGGAGATGTGCGAACCTTGATCCAGCAGCAGTGCCTTGACGGGCACCTTCTTACTCCTCAGCTTCTTGCTCAGCCATTCAACGGTCAGAATGTCCTTGTCAATCACGGGGTCTGGTCCATTTTCCTTCAAGGGGGTCGTCTTCCTCATATCTTCCGCAGCAGCATCCACCAGCCTAATCCGAGCCAGTCGTCTTGCATCTACGAATGCGACTTCATTTTTTGGTTCTTCTTTCAGCTGCAGAATGAACTTCCAGTACTTGGGTGGCCACTCTGCTTCCTCTGGCTTGGTCGGTCGGTAGTAGGCTGTTTCGTCGTTGCTGAACTTCATCCAGCCAGACATGCCAAAATGCATCACAGGGTGTGGCGGCTTGTCCATGACGAGCCAGAAATATTTGCCCTGCTGTCGCGCGTCTACTATCTTCTTGCCGGACATTGCTTCTTGGAAGGCTGATGCAGAGGTTCCCACTTTCCCATAGACAATCTGGGCGACGCCGTCAGGTGGTGTCATGCGCGTAAGATGTTCACAAACGCACATTGTCTTCTTGCGTTTTTACCGCCTGTATCGTCTTTCCGACAGCATGTTTCTTCAGGAAGTGCACAATACGTGCCACTTCGGCGATCTGATCAGCGTCAGCAACTGTCACGCGCGTGCAACTGGAACGCGTCCCTACCTCGGGTATCCTAACAGTAGGACCGCGTTTTTTGCACCTGTCGGTGGACTAGTCTAGAATCTGCAGCAACGAGTGTAGGATAGGTTACACGTGCACTGGGTACCGAGCAGTGGTTGTGAGTTGAGTGGACTGGTACTGTGAATGACAAGGGTTGGAGGCTTACAGTGACCGTGCGCCAGATGGTCATGGTCGCCAGTTGGACACCCCTACCACAACAACAACAAAACTTCAACGCGTCATAACTCAACCAATATGAACCTAATCCAAGAAGCGATTAAAGAAATCAAATCGCGAGAGCTAGGAGAACAATTCTCGTACTAACAAATTGCTAAAAAGTACAACGTACCACAAACAACGCTAATAAGACGACACAAACACCAAAGCAACGACTATGGCCTACGCAACTAATCCCTCCACCTAGAACGCGAAGCCAAGCTTATACAATACGTCAAAACGCTTACCAAACAACGTTTGCCACCTATAAGAATAATAATACAATAGTTTGCCAGCCAGTTAGCTGGCAAACTAGTCTCCAAAAGCTAGGTTACCCAGTATCTCCGCCGGCATCCCAACCATCTCATCTCTCGCTCAGGCACAGCTATGGCCAAAGAGCGGACCAAAGCTAATTTAGGGGCTAAGTACAGCTTGTACTTTAAGCTTTTACATAAAAAGATTAAGGAGTACAATATACAACCCATCAATATATTCAATATAGACAAAAAGGGGTTTTAACTTGGCCAGGTTGGCAGTACAAAACGTATATTCAGTAGGAGACTCTACGAGCAAAAAGAGGCAAGGCAAGCACTTGAAGATAGCTCAACTAAGTAGATAACGGTTATAGCTTGTATTTGTTCAGATAGTACAGCTTTAAGTCCAACACTCATCTTCTAGGGATCTAATAGGTCAGTTTAATCGAGCTAGGTTAAAGCTATACAAGCCAACGAGCACTCAGTCTTTGTAACCTCATCTCCCTCTAGCTAGACCAACAACAATATTAGGTTGGCTTGGCTCAAGGGGGTTTTTAAACGGGAGACCAGACGATACGCTTCAACTAGGTATTGATTATTAATCCTTGACGGCCACGGATCCCATGTAACTATGGAGTTTATTGAGTATTGCCATGATAACAAGATCCTCTTGTTTGTATTTCCACCTCACGCTACCCATACGCTTTAACCACTTGATGTAGTGATGTTTAAACCTCTGGCAACAGCTTACTCAACTCAGTTATCTGGATACCTACAGGACAGCCAGGGGTTGCTCAGTTTAACCAAAGGAGACTTCTTCCCGCTCTTCTAGAGGTCCTAGACCTCTGTATTCAGGCCTTAACTTATCAAAAGGTCTTTTAAAGCCACCAGTATACAGCCAGCCAACCCAGACGTTGTACTTAAGAGGTTTGCCAAAGAGGCTTTAGATTCTGAAAGCAGCCAGTCAGTCCTCTCTAGAGACGATTAGCTCAAGCTCAAATCAATCGTACGCCGTGAGGTGAAGGATTAGAGCAGTAAGGACGTCAAGAAGCTTCAACGAAGCTTGTGCCACATCTCAGCTCAAAACAGTATACTTCATGAGGAGATCAGGGGCCTTAGGCAGTCCCTAGCCATCAAGGAGAGGCGACTAAAGCAGTTATTCGCCCTCTAGCTTAATGAGGACGAGGTTTACTATAGGGGAGCCAAAATATAGTCGCCTAAGAGTGTACAACGATCCCGCGATCGTTAGGAGGCACAACAATAATAAGCTAAGCTTAAAAAGCTTTAAAAAGCTAAGCAAGCCAAGATTAAGAAGGCAAATCGCGATTACGAGCTTCAAATTAAAGCTGCGAAGCGTGTTAAGCGAGAGAAGGGTTGGGAGGAGAGCAGAAAGCGGAGGGCTGCAGAGCAAGCTAAAAAGGAGCGCCGTAGAAGCCTCCGCGACGCTAAAAAAGCTATACAATTGCCCTAAAAGGGTAAGCGCAAAGCTTCAAAACCTTATAAGCCAGCTACAAAGCGTTAAAAGCGTAGTAGTGTTGCTCCAGCTATAGTAAGAGCCGCAAGGGGTGCACTAGCTGTTGTACCGCGTAGTCGACGAGACCAACTAATAACGCCCTCTAAAAAAAAATCTAAATAAGCTAAAACTTTTATAGACCTATATATAGTATAATCCTAGCTTTGCGCAGTTTTATCACGATTTGTAGGGGCTATACAGCCTCATCTTTTTGATTATATTGTTGTTGTTGTTGGGGTGTCCAACTGGCGACCATGACCATCTGGCGCACGGTCACTGTAACTAGCCCCACCACAAAGTGCGCGCGACTACAAAGTGCGCGCGACCACAAAGTGCGCGCGACCACAAAGTGCGCGCGCGCCTTACAACCACCTCAACCTCAACGCGTCGTATCCCCACCACCATGGCTAATATTGAGGCTGCGCTTGCAGCTATTAATGCCCTAGGACCTGATGAGCCTTTTTCGTATACAGATATTGCAAAAAAATATAGTGTTGTTCGATCTACGCTTACCTGAAGACACCAAGGCCTACACGCCTCACGCGCGATAGGTGGCCAAAAACGGCAGCTCCTCCACCCACAGCAGGAGCAGGCCCTAATCGCCTATATCAATCGACTAATAGATAGAGGCTTACCACCTACTCAGCCAATGATACGCAATTTTGCCTCACAGATCGCCAAGACTGAGGTTGGAGTACACTGGGCTAGTCGCTTCGTCCAGCGCTATCCTGATCAACTTACCTCAAGGTGGGCAAAAGG